TTTCTTCTTTCTCTGGTTTTTAATTTTTTTTCTTTTTCAAAGTTTTTCTTTGTTTTTATTTTTATTTTTAAAGATGATAAGTATGATTGTTATACTTAGCTAATTTCTCCATAGCCAAGGGCTGAAGCGATGACTCAATCCCTATTGTGAGGATTGAAAAACACTAAAATAACTTCGAGTTATTTTCTCAATTTTCTGGAGGAATAAGATTGGTAATTGACCTATCTTTTTAAAATCAAAACGTTTTCTAATCAAAACGTCGACGTTTAATCGGAAGTTGTTCTCATTTATAGTTGGGAGGAAGAATCGACTGGTAGCAAGTTCGACTTCCTGTGAACACACTTAACGGCGGTTCGCTAAGGGAAATTGAGATCGAGCTCGATTCTCATTGAGGTAACATAGTCCGATTCAGGTTTTTCCAGATATATAAAACAGTTTGGTAGTGACGACGATAGTCGTAGTTAGTCTCCATAAGGAAATATATTTTGGGTTATCGGTTAATAGAGAGAGAGAGAGAGAGAGGAAGTTAGAGGGTTGATCCCTGTACACTATAATCAGCAAATAATCGAAGCAAAAATTTATTCTAAGGATCAATTGGATTTTGAGGCAAGAGCTGAAGCCTGAGGCTAATTTCACTATAAGTTTCTCTTTATCTCAATCACTTTAAATTTATTTAATTATTTCTTTTTTTTATATTTTGTTTTAAAAACAAGTTTTAAACCCCCTATTAATCTCATCCAAAACTCTACCTTATCTCGTCCTTATCTAAATCAGAAAGTTCACTTCATCAAAAACACTAGAGCCCCTATGGATCGACCATGTTTCCTTACTCTATTCTCTCTCTATTTATTTTTAAGAAGGTGAAATTATTTTGATAGTAAAACGATACATGCCAATCAACATTTTCAAAATATAGGCACATATCACCCAAAATAAATGCAGCTCGAAAGATAAATACATTACAACAAAATATCATTATACTAATGTGTCGATCCTCCAAGTGTCAAGTCTGGGATGCCTATCCAAAATATCTAAAAGAGAGAAGTTTAGGGAAGTGAGCTAGGGAGCTCAGTGTGTTCCAACAGTGCAAAAATAAAACATGTAGTTTAGATTTCAAAATCAGTTCATCAATAAAGTCATGAAACATCGGTAGAATTTCCAAATCAGTTCAGTTCTAAATTGTGAAAATGCCAATAGTGTTTTTAGCATAAAAATACATAATCGCCCTCCAACCGAACACTATTGTAGTTCCCTAAAACTGTATCTATAAGGACTTACCCTAGGCCCAAAGGGCACAAGTGCCAACCTAAGGGAGCACCTTGGGTCCATAAGGTTTTACCCAATGTACATAGCAGAGGTATCACCCTAAATGAGTACCTTAGGGTCCATAAGGTCTTACCACTAGGCCCATTAGGCTCAGGAGCCCACCCAAGAGTCGCCTTAGGTTCATAAGGAATTAACAGTTTGATCTGTCTGAACCTATATAAGGAATTATCAGTTTGACCGAGCTGAAACTATAAAGACTTTATACTAAATCCTAGAGTACCTTGGAAGAAATATATTTTTCAGACAAACCAGTGGTAGCAGGAAATCAGAGTTCAAACATATTTATTTATCAGTTAAAATAGTAACCAAAGAATAGGAATCATACAATCATGCTTACTTTAGTAAAACAAAAATCAGACTTTAAATTAGATAAATTATACGAAAATAGGTCAAATAGATAGTCACATTGCAAATCAGATAAAATAGTCATGTGCACATGGTATTTCAAACATATATTTAAAATAATTATATGACACACAATGAACACACCTCGCAATAAAAACACAATCCAGAATATATATCGAGCACTAGCTTCACTACGTTCTTCGATTGTACGATAACCTAAGTCATAACAGTACAAAGTTATTATCGGAGTAGTATACTAAATTGAATATTTAACAGGTTACAAGACTATACGAGTATTCAAGAGCTCTTACAGACGAGAGGATCGAGAGGAACCAAGTCGAGCAGTCGAAAAATCAATAGACCCATGAGTACCTTAAATATACGATAATATTAATTAGTCCTTGACCCTTCAGTTAAATTTGATGCATTGAAATAAATACTTAATTTACATATGCACATTTGAGTTTACGGGTCAATTTGGAGGCTTTCGGGTTTGAAATTGGCAAAACGAACTTCAGATTCAGACTCAGGACGTTGAAAAACATAATACGACTTTTCAAAAATTTTAACTTTTTGGTCAAGTCAAGTCAACGGGTAGAAGTTAACGGTTCAACTTCAATGGTTCAAAGTCAATGGGTTGACTTAGACGAGTTAACTCAATCCAGTTTGACTCAGGCGAGTTGACACAGTTCGGTCTGTCTGAACCGGTTCGATCTGACTGGATCGGTTTAATAGGCAACACGATCCTAATGGCCAGAAAATATCCATGTCGGCGTGTGTTGACCACACGCAACCCTTATCGGTTGAAAAAATGCCACAAATCGGTCGAATATAACACTAGCAGGGCAAAACTAGGTTAATCGAAGCTTACCCCAGCGTGGATCAACGGGAAAACGGTCGAAATCGATTAACGAAAAATAACCTATGCACGTCGAAACTTTCGAGCAACCTCCATACAGACTGTGATGGCTCGATGCGTGGAAGGTGTGGTTGAGGTCGGAATTGGTCGGCGATCTCATAGTTTAGGGAGGTGTGGTGCACCGCCGGCACGCTTGAACGGAATCGAGGAAAACCAGCGATGGTCGATTGGTTTTCACGATGAGACTTCGCGATGAAATTAACGACGAACGACGTCATCCCACTGTAAAATGGTGGTCGGACTTTGATCGTCGATCGACGGTGAGCATGAAGATGGCGGTGACGAGCTGAACGACGATCGGATGACAACAATTTGGTGATGTCGACGGGGAAAATTAGGGATTAGGTTTTCAATTTAAGGATTTTTTTTGGGGGTTAATCGGTTTTAGCCTTCGATATATATATTTATTAAAATAAGACACAAATAGTGCTAGAGTTTAATGGTAGGGTGATGGGCGGCTTTATAGGGTGATAGAGTTTCAAACCTTCATAACTACCTAACTCATTTCTTTATTTTTTTTCTACATTGATAGAAATTAGGATAATTTAGGGTTAGATCCTTGAATTTCCTACAACTTTTAAAACGAACTAAAAATTTCAAAATTTTGTAATTTGATCCCTAAACTAAATTAAATAATTTAATTGCATTATATATATACATAATTTGCGGTGTGTCAAAACGGTAATAAAGAACATTTTTCTTTGTATCTTTCAATTAATTTTTTTATAATAATATGATGTGATTATAAAATAATATTTATTTAATTTTTTTATTATTAATAATATAAATATATTATATAATTTTTTGAATTCAATATACCTAGAAGAATTATATTCTCCCTACTCATTAAAATCACATGATCAAGGGTATCAAAGTTGAGGGCTTTATATTAAACATGCAAAAATTTCATCAGCATTTCCGTTGTAAATCTCCCTCACTGTTGACCACATAAAATGTGGAAAAAATCTGCCCACACTTGGACAAGGTGGTCACATGAAGTTCAAAAGACGAAACTGACCAAAAACGAAGCACACCACTTTCCCCCAACTATTACACGCAATTAATTAGGCAAGACTAATGAACTGATCTTTTTTGCCTGTAAACGAGTGAAAATACCACTGTATCTCTTTTCTCCACCTACTTTCTTCTCCATTCGGTTCATCTTGGCTCTTTGTTACTGAATTTTATCGAAAACAAAGTCAACATGTTCATTCAATGTGGTTATGTTAAATACTTCAGTTCACACAGATCTGCCTTTGCATGCAGCATAAATCTCAAAAATTCTGGTGAGTTACTCGTTTCCTTTGAGTACAGATGAAACCCAGATTTCGTAATTGTTCTTTCATAGATTTAGCCAAATTAATAGATGTTTTGGGTATGTTTCTTTTGATTTTCTACACACTCTTGTATAACTCAACATGCAAAGTCGCACCCGATGTTGTGTCGCCGATCAAGGTGAAACTGTTGAACAAGATGACCGATCCTGTGCACTATCCGACGAACATTTGCCACATTAAGTTTGTTCTTGTCGGCTGCACTAAAACATGGCCGGCGAGAAGACCCTACACCGAAGCCTAGTGGAGACCGAACAAAACAGGGGGAGCATCTTCATGGACTTACGGCCGCCACCTAATGAGTTCCTCCCCTGGCCTGAAACGTCTCCGCCATTTAGGATAAATTCGGACGCCAGGAAACTGCCGGTGTACCCGAAGCTCGCGAATTAGATCGAGGCTCGGATTTTCCGATCCGTTCTCGACTTGTTTAACCTCGGAGATAACCAGGGAGTGAGTTTAATAATAAAATGATATGATTGATCATAAAATAATATTTATTTAAAATTTATAATTATTATTAGTAATATAAATATATTATATAATTATTTGAATTCAATATACCTAGAAAGAATTATATTCTCCATTCTCATTAAAATCTCTTGATAAAAGGTATCAAAGTTGAGGGCTTTATATTAAACATGCAGAAATTTCATCAGCATTTCCGTTGTAAATCTCCTTCACTGTTGACCACATAAAATGTGAAAAAAATCTGCCCACACTTGAACAAGGTGGTCACATGAAGTTCAAAAGACGAAACTGACCAAATACAAAGCACACCACTTTCCCCCCAACTATTACACGCAATTAATTAGTCAATTAGACAAGACTAATGAACTGATCTTTTTTGTCTGTAAACGAGTGAAAACACCACTGTATCTCTTTTCTCCACCTACTTTCTTCTCCATTCGGTTCATCTTGGCTCTTTGTTACTGAATTTTATCGGAAACAAGTCGACAATCAACATGTTAATTCAATGAGGTTATGTTAAATACTCCAGTTCACACAGATCTGCCTTTGTATGCAGCATAAATCTCAGAAATTCTGGTGAGTTCACTCGTTTCCTTTGAGTACAGATGAAACCCAGATTTCGTAATCGTTCTTTCATAGATTTAGCCAAATTAGTAGCTGTTTTGGGTCTGCTTCTTTTGATTTTCTACGCACTATTGTATAACTCAACATGCAAACTCTCACCCGATGTTGTGTCGCCGATCAAGGTGAAACTGTTGAACAAGACGACCGAACCTGTGCATTATTCGACGAACATTAGCCACATTAAGTTCGTTCTTGTCGGTTGCAAAAAACATGGCCGGCGAGAAGACCCTACACCGAATCCTGGTGGAGACCGAACAAAACAAGGGGGAGCATCTTCATGGACTTACCGCCACCTAATGAGTTCCTCCCTTGGCCTGAAACGTCTCCGCAGTTTAGGCTCAATTCGGACGCCACGAAGCTGTCGGTGTACCCGAAGCTCGCGAATCCGATCGAGGCTCGGATTTTCTGATCCGTTCTCGACTCGTTTAACCTCGGAGATAACCAGGGCGTGAGGTGTTCGTAATGGCGGACGATGACACTGTGTTTTTTGTAGACAATTTAGTTGTAGTGTTGGGCAAATATGACCACGCCAAGCACTATTACGTTGGGATGTACTCGGAGTCTGTCATTTCGAACTTCATCTTCTCCTTCGACATGGCATACGGTGGCGCCGGATATGCTCTGAGCTATTCACTGATGGAACAACTGGCGCCATTGATGAATGATTGCCTCGAAAGATACCCCTTCAGTCATACCAGTGACCATTTAACATCCTCTTGTTTATTCGACTTGGGGATTTCTCTTACCCTTGAAAGGGGTATCCATCAGGTAATTGCCCTTCATACTTGGTACGGTTTTAGCCTACTTTTTTCTTGAAATATTGAAAACTTGTAAGAATGTGGTTGTCTCGAATCGAATTTATGAAGTTCGAGTATATGTAATCTCTTTAATTTTCCCTATAATAGCCTAATGGAGGGGTTTAGGTGACCTGGTTATTAGGATTTGAATCCCAGCGTTTGCATCTTTTTTTCTTGTTAGTCTAATTTGGGTTTGATATTGATAGGTTGGTGTTCGAATTTCAACATCTGTAATCCATCGATTGTATAATATCCGAGTTTAGTCCAGTCGGATTCAACCCAATTGAACTAATAACAATTTGATTGTGTCGAATAGATTAGAGGTTCGAATTCTAACATCTCCGGTACTAAAATAACAATTTGATGAAATCAAACCAGAGTTCACTTCAGTTTGGCCGAAACCAAACTGAATTAATAACAATTTGGTTGTCAAATGGAACCCAGGTTTGGCCCAATCAGGGTTCATAAAATACCTGGAGAGGTTAGAATTTGAACCTTAAGAGATTGTATTGAGTCCGGATTTAGTTAAATTGGGGTTCATACAATACCCTTAAGAGGTGAATAGTAGATTTGTAGAATTGCAGCATTCACAACCTCTTCCGTTATCCTGAGAATACAACCAAACAGAAAGATTTCTTATTGTGATATTATAAACTGCAGGTTGATCTTGTCGGTGACATATCAGGCATGCTATCAGCTCATCCGCCGTCACCAATCATTACGCTTCACCATTTCGACAACATAGACCCAATATTCTCCAACAAGAACCGAACTGACGCTGTAAAACATCTAATGCAAGCAGCCATAGTCGATCAATCACGTTTAGCACAGCAAACAATATGCTACGACAAGCAAAAGAACTGGTCCATCTCGGTCTCGTGGGGTTATTCAGTTCATATATATGAAAGTATCATCCCTCGAAGTATTCTAAAGAAACCCCTGGAGACATTTAAACCCTGGAAGAACGGTCCACCTCCATTGTATATGTTCAACACCAGGTTGGTCACAAACAATCCGTGTCAAGCTCCTCATGTATTCTTCATGGAGAACGTTGGAAGAGTGAAAGGGGATTCCTTAGTTGTCTCTAAGTATAGGCGAAGAGCTCGGCGTGGGTTACCACCTTGTTTCTTCTCTGGAAACCATACCGCCGATGACGTCCTCAGGATTCGCGTGTCTTCAAACGCATTGGCTCGTAAGCAGGTTTGTATCGGACACAAGTAATGAACAATCTGGGCATCTTTAAAATTCGTTCTTATTAATCGATTTCTGTCCGCTTTTTTTCAGCCTGGAAAAATCGAATGCTGCAATGTTATGGCACGAGTGTTATGAACATCAAGTTAAGGGAGTGTAGGAAGGGTGAAGTAATTGCATAGTTGGGATGATCATGAACAAATTAAACAACCAGATCAACAATGTAATATAAAATCGTAAGAAACCTACATATAATACGAGTTATTGTTTTTTTTATTTAATTTATTTTGATCATTTAAATTATTCTGTTTCATCATATTGTGCTGAATATATATATATATATATATATATATTTTATGATTTATTGAATTCTGATATCTGCAATCTTATCGATGCTTCATAATTAAGTTGACAAACTTGTCAAAGATAAGTTTTCATCGGTTACCCAAAATAATTATATAGAATCTGGGGTTTCTCAATCCTTCATGTGTACGTTCTTTGTTTTAAATTTTTACATTAAATGGACAGTTTCAACTTTCTAGTACTTGAACAACGACAAAATTAAGATCTTGAAAACTTTGATGTTCTACTTAATAAAAAAAAAGACTTGTTTTAGATTTGGGGTTGTATACAATATATTAACTCGTCCTCAAATTTAAGGAGAATTGTAATTCTTTTTACCACTTAATGAGATCGCTTAAGTAATGGGTTTGGTAGATGTACTGTTAGAAAGGAAAACATTTTCCCTGTGTAATTTAAACATTTCCAAACTATATCTGACAACTTTTTTGAAAGGGAGATTCCTCTTTTGATCACATTAAAATATAAAACAACAACTTTGGTTAATGTCATCGGCAGCTGGGCAAATAAAATGCTCTTTCCTACAACCTAAGGGGAAAACATTTTCCTCAAGAGGGTAAATGATCAAAATGATAACATAAATACAAGTTACAGCTATTTCGGTTTTACTGACCCTATCTACAACGACACTGACAACATATGGCATGTTCAGGTTAGATTCCATCTAGAAATACTTGAAAGTTTCGGAGATGACCTTTTATATCCCGAGGGCCATCGACTGACCGCATCCTTCACAGGTTCCAATGGAGGCCGTCGTGGATGCTCCGTAGAAAGTCATTAGTAGAATCAACTTGACATGCTGTAGGCACAGGCCAAGGTGCCATACTGCACAAAAGAGCATCCCCAGCAGCCAACAGTTTCCGGTCCTTCCCATCGAATCATGCCCAAGCCGGACTTCTGCTATTGAACTGCACCACTATCTGGACAGTTACATGCTCCGGCAGTATCAGGGGTCGAAACGACAATGAATGTGGACAAATCGGTGTGAACAAAATACCAGGGACCTGTAATTGTCGGAGCATATATTTGTCAGTTATATGGTGGAATGATTATATTCAGACACTAAACAGAGAAACAAATGGTGTCTGAACGATTAGTTAGGACCTACGGAAAAATCCCACGTTTTATGTCACCAATCATGCATAAAAAGAATATAAACAAGCAAAAAGAAGTAATTATTAATCATTTGTCAAAGATACTATTACTAGTATAATCTCTTCTTCTGTTTGAATATGATTAGCATTTCATCAAAACTCCGACATTACATATTATACTCTGAAAAACATGTTTTTCCAGATTTAATGGCGGCCATGAAGATATCAGAATGTACCCGTGGATGGATCATTGATCCTCCAGCTGCCAATGAATATGCAGTGCTACCAGATGTGGTTGATAAAATTAAGCCATCCCCTTGCACGCATGTGACAAAGGAATCGTCGCAATAGCATTCCAGATTCGTGACGTACGTACGATTATATTCCACGGTCGATTGTAACCCCATTCAGAACAAGAAAAGGTTCTTCTGTTTTGTACTCGTTGTTAGCTGCTTCTCTAACAACACGGCACTGCCGTAATGTTATACTGAAGGGTGCCCTCAGGTCAGGACTGAATCAAGGCATTCCTTGAAATGTTCACTATCTAGATCAAGTCAAAAAAAATTTCCTTTTACTTCCGATTTACGAGTCAATAGGCATTTTTAATTCGAACCAAAGAACAATGTTCAATCAACCAAAGTAAATCATCAATTTGATCATCTTTTATATGGAGGTGCGTAATTTCACTGTCTAAAGAGCAAAATACTAAACAATATATCAGAAGAACTGAAAAATCAAGGAATTTATAATAATGATGATGATGATAACAGAGCCAATCTGATTTTATTATTCAGAAACTAGACGGGCTGAAATTAATTTTAGTTCATTAACAAACACAGCCTAACTGAAGTTACATATATGACAAGGAAAGGAAATTGTAACCATAAAAGGAAATACGGTCCATGTCTAAATGCTTTTAAGCTTGATTATAACTTGTAATAAGATATGAAGTAAATATTGCAATAAGTCCTCTTTCAGCTTCAACATTTCACTTGGAAAGTTATCAACTTTAGTTCTGGAAACCCTATGAACTTTATTTTTCTTCTTTTGAAACAACTAACGTAAAAGCCCTTACACATAACCAAGTCAATAATAATTGACAAAAATAGAAAACACACGTTAAATGCATTTCTAAGATACATAAACTATTGATGCGTGCAATTGATGACAATGATCACAACTTTACCTCATGGTCATGTTAGTACATGTTAATTCATTAAAACACACAAAGAACATTAATAAATGACATGATTGCATCAAATTTTAGGAATTCATGGTTAATTGCATCAAAATAGACATGCAAACGAGGCAACTAAGATCTGTAATTATATATATTAGACAAAAATAAAATAAAGAGAGCGAGAGAAAAATTGATTACAGTGGAATCAAGCTTGCTGGGAGACATGGCTGAGGGTGGATGGAAGGGAGAGAAGGAAAACAAAAAAAAAAGGTGAAAAGGGGGATGCTTTTTTCTATGGAGCTGTAAGAACTGCTGCAGCAAATTGATTCTATTGCCGTTGCAGACCTGATTTTGATTCGGTGAATTCTAAAAAGGGTAGTCATTGTTGTTGTTGTTGTATATATAACCAATTTAATTAATTAATTAGTTAATATAACCCAAGAAAAAGAAGAAAAAAACCATTCCCCTTTTCCTTTATAATCTGTCTTTCCCTTCCCCATCTTCCATTTTCCAACCTCCCCTCATAAAAATTGGTAGGTAGTCGCCATACGGATGTGAGATAAATCTGCTACGTGCTACACTACAGTGATATCTCATTCTGATATCCACTTGGCGCTGGGATCATGCGCGTTCATTCAAAGTGAATATATGACGACGCTTGTGATGATGGAACCCTCATGTTACATAGATGAACATCTCTTCTTTTTTCTTCCTTTCCTAGAATCGTATATATCTTTATGACTTATTGGGGAAGAAGATTAGGTCAATACTAGATTTTAACTACTATTCTCCTGTACATTAACCATGTTAATAAAGATAAATGTTTTACTCTTTGAAGTTAAAGGAAATGCCTTAGATTAGCCAGAAATGACATAGGAATCGCAAGGGGCATCAAGTGTGCAAGCGGGATGAACGCTTCAACAACCGCAACCATCAATGGATATAGCCTGGCCAGAAACCACAAGACCAAACTTGTCCCTCGCTATAATCCCAATAGGCAATACCAGCGTGCGCAGGTGGGTTTGCAGTAGCACCGTCAACGTTCACCTTAAGTGTATGCATGGTAGGCCGACACCAGCGATACAGGTGGAGGAGACAGGTGGACAGTAGCTGAAAGATAGGCTGCCAGTAAAGGGTGACACTCTTGGAGCAGGTGTCAGCTGGGTAGTAACCGCCCCCCATTCTCGTAGACATTCCGGCGACGCCAGATGGAGTATAAGAGCACAAACACTTCAGCAAATCAGGGAGGCTTATGCAATTCAGACATCAAAACTAATCAGTCTCCACAGGAAACAAAGGTACCAGATAAAACTGAAGCAAGGAGACCAATGTGTTGCAGAATGCGGGAGGCATCACTGATAATTGTTTAATAAAGTAATCGTGAATAAGTGATGAGATTTTTCCCTCTCAATCTCAGCCCAAAAGCCGAAACCAAAAGCCTACTTGTTTCCTCAGCCTCAGCCCAAAAGCCATTGCATCTTGCTTTGTAAAGTTCTTTTCTTTTTCCCGAACAAATCCAAATCAGAAACCAAAGTTTTCCCACGAAATCTCTACTCCCCCTCCCTCCTCGATGGACTCTCTCCAAGCCACTTATAAAGACGATTACGACGAAGAAACAGCCCCCCATCCACCTCCTTCCGACTCCTCACCACTTCCGGTCACCGGAGAACATCTAAAAGATGTTCTACTCACCGAGCCCATTAGGGATATAGAAACCCCAAAAGGCATCAGCACTAGCAAACCGGAAACCTCCCAGCTTGCGGCGGCTTCGTCGGATTCTCTCTCTGAAGACCCTACAACAACCACCACGACTGCTTCCGATGACACCCAAAACCCGCTTAAAGTTCCCCGGAACTACGACGAATTCGAGGACGACGAAGAACATCTACCCAAAAAGCAAAAACAGCTGTCGTCTTTAACAACTCCTCAATACCCTAATTCAATCCCCGCAATCAACGATGATAACCCCAGCAACGCTGCTGTCGGAAACAGTAACAATAACAGCAATGCCCCACCAAATCCTTCCCCTGCAACAAAAGCTAAGACAACAAAGAAGTCTAAGAAGAAAAACAATAATGTATGGGCAACGAAAACGTCGAGAAAAGGGAAAAAGAAGAGCAAAGTGAATAACCAGAATGCTGGGAATGGGGAAGACGCGGTTTTGATCACCCCTGTTCCAAGATTCCCAGACAAAGGGGACGATGCCCCTGATATGAAAATATGTCTTTCCAAGGTTTATAAAGCTGAAAAAGTGGAGTTAACTGAAGATAGGATGAGTGCAGGTAGCACAAAGGGGTATAGAATGGTTAGAGCCACGAGAGGAGTGGCGGAGGGAGCTTGGTACTTCGAAATCAAAGTAGTGAAGTTGGGGGAGACGGGGCATACACGGCTGGGGTGGTCTACTGATAAAGGGGACTTGCAGGCGCCGGTCGGGTATGATGACACTAGCTTTGGATATAGAGATATTGATGGGAGTAAGATACATAAAGCTTTGCGAGAGAAGTATGGAGAAGAAGGGTATAAAGAGGGAGATGTTATTGGGTTTTATATAAATTTGCCAGAAGGTGGGTCGTATGCTCCCAAGCCCCCTCATTTGGTTTGGTATAAAGGGCAGAGGTATGTGCATGCCCTTGATGCAAAAGAGGAGCCACCTAAAGTGGTGCCTGGTAAGTTTCTACTGCTATTCTGATTAAAGCTTGTTCTTTGTGCATTGGATTTGAATGAACTGAATTGGATATTTATGCTGCTTTTATGTTTATTCCTCTTATGTTTTTCCTTTACCATGTCGTTTACTGTTTCTATGTATGCTCTATTTTGATAATATCTTAGAAGAGAACGCACCATGTAATCAGATACACTGCATCTTCTAGGATGGCACTTTCAAATTTTGATGCTCTAAAGTGTTCGGAAAATAATTTGTTCTCAGCCCCATTATGCTTGTGTGCATCCATTAAATTTAATTATTGATCCAACTGTTTGTTCTTTTTCATAGTTTTTCTACCTTGGTTTTGAATTGATTTCTTTTCAAGCTGGCACTACTTTGGTTGCCTTAAAATTGGATAGTTTGAGAATATTAATCTAATCAAATGACAAGTGGAGTATTTTAAAGATTTAAGATATAGTTTTTAATCGACTTTAGAAATAAGTTTTGGTTGACAATATGCTTTGATCCTCTTCTCAGTAACCAATAATCATCAGTCATCCAGTTACCAAACTGTAGGCCTCTCCTTATGAAAAGATATAACAAGATACGGGTCCTTTAAGCAGTATTCTGAGAAGTGACATTTAAAAGCTTTTTACAATGCAAAATATATGGCTTGTTTTTGTATGATTTGTTAGACTTTGCGCTATCCCACCATCACTTAAATCATGTGGAAATTTTGAACAAAATGTAAGTTAGGCCTTTGCTATATGGAAAGGATATAGCAAGATATGAATCCCTGTAATATGTTTCTGAGAAGTGACATATGGAACCTTTAGACAAATCAATTATGTGGGCAATTCATAATTGCCGGATGTCTTCCACGGAAGTTGCTCTCAACCTAGCGTTGGGGGCAGCCTACTACCCTACCTCTCCCTTACCCTATTACATATGGGAATAGGGTCAGCTAACTGTAATTATATGGCTTGTATTACAGGATTTCAGTTGACCGTTGCAGTATCCCACCCAAACACAAATCCTGTGGAAGATTGAACAAAAATGTCTGATCAGAATAAAATCAACTCTGTTGCATGATTTTGGTTTGGATTCTGGCTTCTGTATGGTCATTGCATGGGGTACTAGGTTCTCTCCTTTTTGCCCTTTTCTACAGTAAGGCATGTCATAATGGGTAAAGTTAGAACACTAATTTTAAAGTCTAACCAGAATCTAACTGAACCTATCTGATTGGTTGTGATATGTTTTGCCTGTTAAAACTGATCATGGTAATATTCGGAGCATTTTATCAAAAATGAATTGTTTGTTTAAACCTGGCACCGAAGTAGAAATCTAGTATGCTGTGACTATATTATGCAGTTTTTAACTTGCATTACCTTTTTAGACAGGCCATTGGGAAGATTTTAAACTAGCCGCACATCCTAGCTTTTATGCTTGAAATGCAATACATGTATTTTTTTTAACTAATTTTCTTCTGAAAGGACTATGTTCTGTGTTTGATGAGGATTTGTTTAGATTATTTACAATTAGCAGGAAATACTGCTTTTCATGTGCTATGCTTGAAGTTTGATAATTACTGTTGATAAATGTCGACTTTCCTGCAGGAAGTGAAATTTCTTTTTTCAAAAATGGGTTATGCCAAGGAGTTGCTTTCAAGGATTTGTTTGGTGGTCGTTACTATCCTGCTGCTTCAATGTACACCCTTCCAAATCAACCGAACTGTGTGGTGAAGTTCAACTTTGGCCCTGACTTTGAATGCTACCCAGAGGAATTTGGTGGACGACCACTTCCCAGGCCCATGGTTGAAGTTCCTTATCATGGGTTTGACAACCAAGTGGAAAATGGTGTAGCCAATTAGAAGAAACAGTAGTGAGCTTGAATCGGACTCTAACATCATTAGAAAATGCCTGCTAATTTGAGGGGCTGTTTTATATTGTAGTTTTAATACTTCCGAAATTAGGTCTGCTGAGTTAATTGATTAGTTCTGTAAACTCTGACTTTTCTTTAAAGATGAGAGAAAGATGGGCTTCCTGCTTGCAAAGTTGCAATACCTAAAACCACTTCATGAGCTGACCAATGTCAGATTGTCATTTTATTTTACTTTTGTTTCGTTTGTATATCTTGATATGATTCTTCAATGAAGTTCTTGTCTGCCATGCTTATGACCTCCTTTTTGTTATTTTGAATGCTTCTTCTGTGATTTAGTTCCTTACGCAGATCACTTGGATGTATTGCGGTATTCTTAATTTTGCAATTTCTACTTTTTTCAGACAGGATTCCAGCAACTCTATGAGATTACAGCTTGTATGTATGTGTCACTGAAACTTTTCTTTTGGCTTGCATTTTTTTTAATTATAGTTTCTCAATCAGACCTGATTTTATCACTTCACCTTTTCCTGTTAGTAGAATGGAAGTGCTCTGGTTCTGATTCTTTAATATGAGTAAAGCAGATAGTTTGCGCGGAAGGATATTAAATGGTAGCAATTATTTAGCTAGTGAAGCGGATTGTTCTTCCTTCTAAAACGTTGAATTCTAACCTTTGGCTTTTGCTTGTAAACCTTTTGCAGTTCCTGAGAGGATAGAAGGAAGGACTGAACTTAATGGGATTGCCCCCTTACAGGTAAATTCTAATTCTGAATTAAGTAGGAAAATGAAATAAATTCCATTGGCATCAAGGAACGTGATTTAGGGTTGCAAAATGAGTAGAAGGAAGTTGGAATTCTAGAAAATGTAGTAGGGTTATATAAAACCTCCAGTTTCTTTATATTAATTCAAAGAAAATAATAAGAATAAGGCTTAAGGGTCACTTTTGCCCCTGTAGTAGACTTAATTTATCATCCCTATCTTATTTTCGCATCAATTTAGCCTTCAAAGTTGTTTAATTGCATCATTCTATACCCTACTCCTAACTTAAAACCCTAAATCGACAACTCTAAACCCTAAACCCTAAACCCTAAACTTTAATCTCTAACTTAAAACCCTCAATTTAGGATTTTAAGTGAGGATATGGTATAAAATGATGCAATTGAGCAACTTCAAGGGTTAAATTGATGCGAAAATACGATAGGGACGAAAATAATAAATTAGGTCTACTATAGGGACAAAAGTGATCCTTTTGCCTAAGAATAATAATGTTGGCAATAAACATATTTTTGAATCTAAAAACGGTTGACGTATCCAACCCAGTACAGAATCGAAATTCCTAGCTATGGCACAGCTTGTGTGCTAGATTTTGAGGATGCTTCAGTTATTATTAAGCTGGGAAGAATACAAAGCTATGGTAGAAAAAGATGGATCATGGATGTCACCTGTAAAATACCCATTCAAATTCTGAAAAGAAAAAACTGTAAAAGAATCCTATGTAATCCATCTTGGGGACTTTGAACCTACAGTTTCGTTAGCACTTAGGTAACTCATGCATCAGCAGTGCAAAAAAAACAACAGAATATAGTACACTTAAATAAAATGTCACATTAGATGTTAAGATATTGTTCTGCTACAGCAATTTTCAGACAAAAACACTAAGAACAATGGGATCTTTTTTTGTATCTGTTTATATCCTATCGGGTAAGGAGGAAGGAAAGTCGCTGAAGAAGCACTGAAAAAAAATAAAAATAAAGCTGATATCCATGATTTTATAAGTAATGCTACTATAATCTCCTTTCCTTGTTTATGTAATTGAATCAAAGTAGGAGCATTACTAGAGTACTCTTGATTTGTTGATTGTTCTAGTGAATTGGAGAGTTTAGGCCCTCTTGAGAAGACAATGAATGTAGAACTTGGTGCCTCTTGGATGGGAAGGCTAATGTTTTCCTAAAAGAAGGTCGTTTTTTGAGGTGTTGTATCGTTCGCTTCGTATAAAGAGTCCGAAACAAAGGTGAGACTCTTTCCTTGAACTTGAGAATGATGAAGAAAAGCAATCTATAAGCTATCAAAATCATCAAAACAGCTGCTAAATCCCACCACTTTGAATGCTCCAGACTGATGCCAAGCATGGTTGTGAGGACGACATCGCCTTTTAGTTTCGGACCACCAGGTATGAAGCCATCAAACTCAAGCCCGACCATATCATTCTTGTATGCTCCCTGCATTCTCCATTCTATAGAAAATTCACATTGTTTGATTGGGACATTGCTGCATTCAATAAAAATTTACCTGTAATGCCCATGCGCCATAGTTGATATATGAAACAGGGTAACGCCAGAATATCTTCGGGAGATCCGGCAGCGTTCGGAAATATCCGGCTGTCATCATCAGTAAACCCTGTGTAAAGAAAAAAGGACGATTTTTATGGTGACATTAATGGAGGAGCTCTAAAAATTTCTTAAAAAAGTATAGTTCTTACTATATAACCGGCTCCAATTATGACTCCCATCATGAAGTTGGGAACTAATGATGCTATCATCATCATGCAGCTCTCTACGGTTGCAATGGAGCTAATGAGATCGAGTGCGACATACATGAAATGTGAAATTCCGGGCCGGAACTTCACCATGTAATAGGTAATTGATGCAGTAGCAAGGGACATCACAGTCAAGAATGGAAATGAGGAGAGGAAATTTGAGAGTATATAAACAGCAACCCCATAATGTCCATTGCGCCTTTCTCGATAAAAAACCTATGATAGAACATCAAACAGAGAAAAGAAGAGTTATTGAAAGCTTTAGTATCATTAGTTCTTCAATGAGATTACTCACCTTGAGTTCTTCAATGAAGGATGGGAAGCCTCCTATGGACATGAATGTCATGAAACCTGATATGAAACCGCCGCAGGCACCACGAGCTAAGACTGCATTGTAGTTTGTTCCAATGTTGAAGAAAATAGAGCCAACACAAATAGATAAGGCCACATAGATTCCTATCCTTAACCAGTAATACCCCAAATCTCTAGACATGTTTACAAAGGACCTGTTTGTCAAAGTTGATAGTTGTTTCAACCATTTTGCTTCACTGCTGTGTTTTTTTCCAATAACGAGTCCCACCTGAAATATAAATAAGAAAAATCTAAGGAACTGTTCGATCTATTAGCCCCTCGACATATTTAAGCTCTATGTTACTCGGACACAAGGTTGAATATAGGATTTAGGTATGTATTAGATACTCCTATACCTGTGTACATGTTAGAGACAAATGTCTGGCATAGGTATTTCAAGTAAAATGAAGAGTCGTAGGAACGTTGGTAAACTGTAGGCTTACAATGGTCCATGACTAAGCTCGGAATGCTTACAATGGTTGAAATTTCTCGAATTCTCGCTTTTGCCTTTGCCGCATAATCTGAGCTTCTGTATTTCTTAACGAGCAATGCTTTTATCTGTGCTGTTGTTAGGTTTGTCAAAGGATCTAATGTATTTGAAAGTTCCTGCGGTTCATAAATGAAAAACATATTTAACCATGAAGAAGTTGAGATTAATCAATTGCAGGAAGGAAACGAATCAAGTTTCTTAAGACCAAAAACGGTTAATTATAATATAGGGTTTTTGCATGGCCTGAACATCTTATTTATAACTTCCTTGTTCCTCGTTGAAAATATCAAACTGTTTCACAAAACTATGATACTACATATGTTATTTGTTGCCTGTTAAATCCTGGGAAAATAAATTTCAAAAAAATGCAAGGAAACCAACTGACTGCTACATGGGGAAATGACTATGTTGTTATCTCCTTGGAAAATGAAGAACGAAATGCTTACGATCACACTGTGAGATCCCTTTAGAGTCTCTGCGACAATGTCAAAATCAGAATTTATGCAACGAAGGAAGTGATCCGAAGGATTTCTCCGACTCGGACATGGGAATCCTACTTCAGCAAAGAACTGCAAAATCAATGTGATTAAACACTATTATCTACAAACAAGTTTGATGACATTGTTGAGATATTTATCTTGTTTCACTACCTTTGCAGCCATTTTTGCCTCCCCAAAATAAACTTGTTCACCACCAGAGAGTAGGAACAGGTCATCGAAAAGTGAGAAAACTTCGCTGCTCGGCTGATGGATTGCAGTGATGATAGTCCTGCCATCACGGCCAACGTTCCTAAGAGTTTGTATCACAAAAAACGCAGAGGCACTGTCTAGGCCACTTGTAGGTTCATCAAGAAACAAGAGATGAGGCCTCGTGAGGATTTCGAGTGCAATGCTTAGCCTTTTCTTCTCCCCGCCACTTATGCCGCGTAGGTGCCAGTTTCCGATAAGCCGGTCGGCACACTCTTGGAGACCCATTTCTGTGATTGTTCCCTCCACAATGTCATCAATATCTTTTCTGGTCAAAGATGATGGTAGCCTCAACTGAGCCGAGTAAGTTATGGTCTCTCTTACTGTTAGTGTTCCCAAAAGTATGTCCTCTTGAGTCACATAAGCCTGAAGTTTCACAACAAATAACTCTTTATTCAATAACCAAAATTTTCAGAGCAGTTCAATATCTTGTAGTCCAAAAATAATATCTTTACGATACTTACCACACTACCGTAGTCTAGCCTCTTCTTTCCATTAAGAAGAACATTTCCAGTCATCACAACATTTCCAGATAGTCTACCTGCATACACTTCATTCGATTACCTTGGTGTTCAACATTAGCATGAAGAAAATACGACGAATACACATAAATAAGAGTATAATATGAAAATATTTAACGATTACCTTGGTGTTCAACATTAGCATGAAGAAAATACAACGAAAACACATAAATACGAGTATAATATGGAAATATATAAATATCATATTTTATTTTGGTACTGACATTATACTTGCAGGTTGTAGTGGTCTACAATGGCTAGGTAGTGGATGTTGCAGCACCCTAAGCTAAGGACCCCCCCCCCCTCCTTTTCTTTGTTTTTTAATTTTGACGAGTAAATTGAGGCAACATTTAATATAGCAGGATTGAGAGTAAAAACCATTTTCCATTTTAATGTAGGATTTTATCTTTGGTAGTTCAGGTCATTTATCAGCAGCTTTAACATTTAACTTCCATACCTGCATCTTCATCAACCACTACCAAATTTAACCTATTCATTCATCTCTCTCTTTATGTACAAACCATTTATCAATATCACCCTCTTTCACTTTTTTTTTTAAAGTAGGAAGTTAATTGAAGTTTGATTTTCATTCTAACAAAAGTTAGCAGATTTCCTAATTAGAAGGATTTGAAATATTAGCGTGGAGTATTAAGCTTAACGTCCTCCAAGAATGGAAAAAAATATAAATGCAAATATTAACAGTGTAATAAATGCGCAAGTAAAAAGTTAGATTTCTATTAATTATTAGTTGATATAATGAGATAAAATCTTAAGATATTTTAAATTAGATTGAAAATATAGCTTTTTTATAGATATTTTATAATGTTTGATTAATTAAAAAAAAACTAGACTCACAGTAGCTCAGAGGAAATAAATACTCCAACTGTCTCCATTAATATCTCTACTACTTTTGTAATATTCTATAAATGGTTGAATCCATTGTTATAAATAGGGTAATAAATCAATCCGATTTTATTAGTCATAATTTAATTAGATTTCATCCGTGAATGCATTGATGTTGCCTCGTGTTCAACATACAATGGACACGTTCGGGCACCGGAAAAAAATCAAAACATAAAATTTCAACATGATCGAGACACGAGAGCACAAGAGTGGCGGAAGAGGGCGGACGCCGCCAATAATGCTGTTTAACTTTTGAAGCAATTAAAAAAATAAGAAGACAAAACACACATTAACTTGTGAAGTGATTCAAAATAAAGGATTTTTTTTACAACAACGTCCTCGAAAGATCAAGGTTCAAATATTAGTGTTTTAAATTCTAATTCAATGGCATGTTTAACAGTCATGGAATGAAGTTTAGTAATCCCTGAAATGGATTTATTAACACAGAAATGGGTAAAATTTTAATTAGTTGCTTGAACAGAAAAGATGGAATGAAGTTGTCTTGCATGCATGCTTTAACATGTGCTATAGTGGAACCAAAAGAACAAAACCAATATATATATGTATGTATGTATGTCGATAGAGGGGAGACCTGCTAAAGCATCGAGTAGAGTGGATTTTCCAGAGCCAGAAGGACCCATGATGGCCATGATTCTACCAGGTTGAGCACATCCCGTAACCCTATCAAGCAATCTCCTGGTTGGTCCATTACTGAAGTTGGACAGCAACACCGTCAGATCTTCCCACACCAAGTACATATTCCCTTCATGATGATGATGAGGAGGTTGTGCACCTCCGTTAACACCGCCGAAGCCTGCAGCACCACTCACCTCCTCTATCTCCACCTCAGCCATCCAAAACAACAAGAAGAACAATAATACCCTGTCTCTCTATACAAAAAAAACGAAAGAGAAGAAAAAAAGAAAGCAAATAATAAATAATGCTTTTGTGCAGTGTACTTCACTACTACTTATGCTGAAATGAATATGAGGATCGAGTGTCGGAAAAGGAACAGATACTTGGCAGATGTGAGTGTAAGAAAGTTAGTTCGAAAAATAAAGTTATTTTACGCGTTATTAGAGTTTGAATTCTCAAGTTCAATCTCAAAGAAAGATTAACCCTATTAATATACAAAGTAAACCTTATTGATAGAACCTTCAGCCAATAAACCTAACGTTGGATTCGATCATTGAGAAATTAAAAGGTAAATGGTAGAATCAAAAAAGTAATATGATAGCTTGCAAAAGTGCAGGTGAAATAAATAAACATGTGCAGGGGGAATGAGATTTAGCCACATCAATTTCAACATTAACTCCTGCAGTAATTGGCAGATCCTCCATCCAACTCCTCACTCATCTTTTTTTTTTTACAATCTTTGACAATTTCAACGATTTATAAATGTTATGTTTTATATTTTTTTCAAAAAAATAAAATTATAAATTCGTGTTAAATATATTACAATTCACTTATGATTTTTTGTAAAATCAAACTTTAAATCATTTAAAAGATGTTAAAATTTGGATCAATATGTTACTCTAAATCAGATCGATTTGATATTAATCCTGATCAAAAATTGATCGATCTAAAACTGACTCCACTTGATTTATCATAAACTTGAACAAAACTGTAACATCCCAAACTATGGGTTAGTGACTTAATTGTAAAGTTTCAGAATTTGATGATTTAAGTAGAAGAATGTATTAGTTCAATGATTTATCTGGAAATAAATCCTAAAAGTTGTTAGTAATTATTAAAGGAATTAAAGGGCAAAATGGTCTTTTTATCTAAAAGATAATTATCTTATCTCATTATTAAGAGATAAGCATGTAGGGAGATATTTCTCCAGAAACTCTCTTATCTTCTTCTCCCGTATCTCCAAACTCAAAGGTGAGTCTTCTACTTAGTTAATTTCTGGTTAAATTTAAGGTTGGGTTTTGATCATTAGATGATAACTAAGCTTAGGGAAAGCTTAAGTTATCTTAAGATTGAAAGATAAAGAAGTTATGAAAGATTAAAGAGAAGGTGTTTCTAAATGAATTTCTAGAAAAGAGTTGATAAATGAATTTTGATATGGAATTTGACTTGTTATCAATCCAATTAAGACATACGAAGTAATATAATTGGATTTGAAACATGTTGCAAAATTGATGTAATTATTGAATTACATATGAATGATAGGACTTTGAGTTTTAAGATGAAATAAATGAGTATAGATTGGTTTAAGTATGTGTACTAGAGTTAAGAATGAAAAAGGGGATGAAACATGAAGGTTTTAATCCAAAATAAATGAATTTTCGAGTTCAAAAAGAGGATTCTGGGCAGAGTGCATCGATGCACATTCATAGTGCATCGATGCATCAAGGTTAAAACCCATAAATTGTTTGAAGGTGTATCGATGCACAGGTAATGCATCGATGCACTCTTTTAAAATAAAAGACATCGAATGCAATTTGTGCATCGATGCATAAGGAGTGCATCGATGCATCCCAGTAATAATACAACATCGAATGCATTTTATGCACCGATGCATCAGTAGTGCATCATTGCATACCTTCATTAAAAGATGAAATTGCTCTCTTAGTCTAAAGAGTGATCCATTAGAATATATTAGTTATAATACTGATATAAATCCATGTGTGATTATGTAGATACTAAAAGTAAGCTTGTTCCGGAACAATCGAAGGATTAGAATCGAATCAAAGCAAAGCTAAGGTGAGTGCAATTTAATTTGTAATTATGTTATCGAATAAACATTGGCTTGCGATGAGCCAGTGATGGAGTTACTATGGTAGGAAGTGACTCCTCACATATATTTGATTTGTGATTGATGTAATTTTACGTGTGCATGATTACATGTATATGCGATATGTGGTATTGACATAAGTGACTATAGGATCACGAACTATGTAGAATAGCAAATACTTATGTGATAGTAAGAGAAAATGATATAAACTAGGTGGAGTAGATATAAATGATAAGTTAAACGACATTGACATATGTGATTATGAACATGTGATATAAGATATAAGCTAAAGAATTATAGCATATGAGATAAGACAGACATATGTGGTTATAAAAACATGATATGAAAATAGGAGAAAAAGAAATTGTAATATATGATACATGTGATATGATATGAAATATATGGTTACACATACATGTGGTATGTGATAGAAGAGAAAGAACAAGTGATATGAAATGTTATAGATGATAATGCCCATGTTATCTGATATGAGAGCTAGGGGTATAGTTGGCATGCCAAGAGTCGAGGGTTTACCTATGTTCTACGGAACATATGGACATTTTACCTAGGCTCTTTGGGACCTATGGACAGTTGCCGAGGTTTTTTATGACCTCTGGATAGTTACCGAGGTCTTTGTGACCCCTGGATAGGTCCTTCGGGACATTTATATGAGCTGTGGTGACAACATAGTGGTGCACAACCTTAATAGACTCACATATCTATAGTTCTCACAGGTGCACATAGGCTAATAAGAGATAACATTGAATGTAATGTATGTGATGTATATATGTATTTTGTGATATGAATTATATGATATGATATATGTGTGTTAGTGATTATTGTATATGCTATAAGATATATGATATGAACTTAATTGATCATATAAACAAGAGAATAGAAATATGAAAGGTGCATAATAGGAATTATTATATGTATATGTGGGTGTGATGATTGTATGTGATATGTTAGTAGAAATTTTTCAATCATTATTACGAGTTGGAATTTTATTATATGTTTTATGCCTCACTAAGTCATCGACTTAGCGTGTGATTGTTTCACACGTAGGTTTGAGAAGAATATAGAGAGCAATGTGGAGCAAGACAGGCCAGTAACTCCTTTACAAAGTTCAGATCAGAAAATATATGTATTTGGCATGTAAATAAAGATTTGAATTCGATATACTCGAATTGGTTTTGTAAAATCATATGATACTAATTTATGTAAATTAGCCAATTGTATTTAGTAAAAGTTTTAAAATTATTCATTATTTTGTTCAAGTAAAGGTTTTGAAAAATTAATGTGACACCTCAGACTTGTATTCGGGTCGGGTACGGGTTGGGAGTGTTACATTTAATGGTATCAGAGCTACGGTTTAGCCGATTCTAGGCTTAAATCGAAGTCAGAAGTGTTTTAAAAAGTATATATGCCAACTCAAAGTGAAAAATTCTGATCTGATAGTGTAAGGAGTATGTTGTCTTGCTAATAAAAATAGATTATTATGTGATAATAGAAGTATGATAATAAGAGCTTCGAAAGAAGTGAAAGGTAATAAACCTGAAGGTAATAGCATTCACCTGCCCTGGCCAGGCAGGGAGAAGAGCGAACACCTCAGGAAGTGCCTGTATAAAATTTGGAAAATTATTCTTCATGTTGAAGAATATTCTGATGTGTTTTCAATTTATACTTCTTTAACTCATATAATGAATGTATCAAATTAGTTGATAAAGTTGCGAGCACCCAAGTTCAAGGGTGGATTTGAGGAAGATTCTATTGTTATAGACCTTTGGTTGAATGATATGATAGAAGGTTTTCATTTCTTCAAAGTGGAGATGTTGAATTGAGTAGTTTTGTTACTACTTTGGTAAGTTAGAGTATGGTGGACAATTGTCACCATAAGAACATTAAAGGATTAAATGATGTGATTAGAATTGTATAAGAGTTCAAGAATAAGTGCATTGATGACCAGTTTATAAGACAGATGAAACTGGAATACACTAGCTTGAAACAAGGGAATTACACCTTGTATGAGTATGATTGTAAGTTTAATAAGCTAAGCATAATTGCTGCTGAGTTAATTCCGACTGAAAATGATACATGTGATTTGTTGTTTAGGACTTGCGCCTTAAATTAAAAGAGTGTTACTAGTTTTGAATTTGTTCTTGTTTCAAGAAATGGTTAATTGTGTTAAAGCTTTAAAGAGAAAAGAGCTCAGAATGAAAAGTTTGGAGAATAAAAATCTCATATGATTAAGAGAATTGGTGCTTCATAGAGTTCAGTACTATCAAAGAGAGGTAGAGATTCTGGTTTTTAACTTCAGATAAGGTATGAATTAGTTGTATTCTCTGCCAGAGAATCAAATCTGATATGAGTCAGACAGACTCAATTAGTATGGTCTGGTACTGAAAGATTAAACAATGATTTAATTGATAATAAACCAAGGTTAAAAACAACCTTTGTGAATTAGATTAAAAGTTCTGTTAGAGTTATGAAAATTGAAGCGGGAAAAGTATTATAAAGGGGTGAGATGAGTATTGAGATTTGGTAATTGTTGAAATAATTCCAATTGCAAAGAATGTATATGAATGGTTAGATGAAGGTTTTCGCTTTATATTGGAAGAATCGATGTTGATTAACAGAGTTATGAAGTTGAAGTATATTAAGTTAAAGGATTAGAAGATGATGAAGGAAAATACAATTATAAGAGATAGTAAAGAATGAGGTTATGTATAAGTGAAGTTGGTTATTAACGTTATAAAGAGGTGATAAAGATATGATTTGTATATAAGAAGATTTTGATAATGAAAGTGTTAGGATTTTCGGAAGCTCGAAACGACAACCGAAACGGTTTGCAAAGAGGGGGTCGGAATGGTTTTGTGTTTAGGGAGTAAGGAGATTGAAAGATAGAAAATTGCACAGCGATTTAGAGTGGTTCGACTTTATCAACCAAAGTCTACATCCACTACCTTAGCTCCTCACCAAGGATTTTCCAACAAATTCACTAATTTGTTCTTTCTTTTGAGGACAAAGAGATAACCTTACAACTCCCTAGTTTTTCCGGGCTAAACTAGAACCTTTCCCTAGCTTTTACACGGGCTAAGCTAGAACCTTTCCCCTTTACAAAAGGATAATAAGTGTAAACAAGAAAACCTCTCTAAGGTAGGTGTTTACAAGATTGAGCTCACAAG